TGTAGCTAAGGTAATAGCACAAGAGTACACAGTCCATGGTGACCTTGAATTTGTGAACTTCTCTCGGCCTCCTGAGTGCTGTGGTTTCTGCATATGCCATTAAGCCAGGCTAAAGTTTATTGTTTCAAAAGGAAACAAAACCATTCACAGTACAACAAGCCTATACTTCTACCTACTGAAGATTGTGTAAGGCCAGGAGTTCAAGGCCAGCTTGGGCATCATAGCAATACCTTACATTAAAGAAAGAAAAATAAATAAATAAAAACCAAACCAAACAAAACAAAAGATACTAGAATGAGATAAATAGAAAAACGTATTTTTTATTTTCCATTAGTATTTTGTATGCGTGTGTGTGTGTGTGTGTGTGTGTGTGTGTGTGTATGTGTGTGTGTGTGTGTGAGCATGCATGTGCACATACCTGTGCATATATACAGAGAGGCTGAAGGTAAATGCTCCTGTCTTCTATCATCTTCCACTTCAGTTTTGGGGATGATCTCACTGAACTTGACTAGCTATAGTAGCTATCCAGTGAGCCCAGATTTATTATCAGCCTTGGGATTATGGATGTGAAACTCTATCCTGGCTTCTTACATGAGTGTTGGGGAACTAAATTCAGGTCCTCGTGCCTACACAGCTAACACTTTACTCACAGATTCATCCTCTCAGAAAAAAAACATAGTTTTTAATACATAAGTTCACTGTTAAGCTTTCTTCAACACCAATCTTGTCTTCAAACTAAAGTGGAATGAAGAGTTATCTCTACTGGTATTTGGCTTTGAGAGTTCAAGAAGTAAGATACTGAAGATACTTTCATATAACAGAGATATGTTACTTCTGTGTACAGGGTGGAGATTTTTGTGGGCTTACATAAACTATTCACAGAAATACTTCCTGAAATCTGGGAGGTATGCAGGGAATATATGTTAAGTAAAAAATGACACCACAAAAAACACTTAAAATAGGAAGATTACTTTAAAAATCCTAACAATCCATCTGTCACTTTGCATGCTAAGGTTGTAGAACCAATCATTATCTAGACAATGCAATTCTCTGGTTGGAGTAAAAGATGAATAGAAATCGCTTTCTGATAGAAACGGCACAGGCTCTGAACATTTTTAAGAGAAAACTTAGATACCAGCATTCTCCAAAACATCTCTTGGGACAAAAAAGTCTCATGGGATCTAAGTCTTGAAGGCATTTGAAAACCCAAGTGTAAAGGAGCCTTTCAGAAACAACTCCGGAAAAACAAAAGGTGAATCTGTGCAACACAGTCAAATATTTCACAGGGTTTCCAAAATCTTTAAACTGGTATCCTCATGTTAGTTTTGGAGTTCAAAGGAACCAATTAGAAAGGGCCTGCAGGGCACACCATTAGCAGATTTCCTTGCTAATGTTTTCTCATACAGTAAAAAGGATTAAAAAATATTATGGGTTTTTTCCATGTATATTTCTATAATGCCTCAACTACTTTGCTAAAACAATGATAGCTCTATAACATTTCAATAATACACAAATGAGCACATCGGCATTCAACATACAAACACAAAATTAAAAGGTATTTTCTATTTATTTTAGGGTGTTTCTGTTTTGTTTAAGGGACATTATAGAGTCTTGAGAAGAGTATCAGAGGGAAAAATTAGAACGTTTATATAGTTCAAAACAAACTGTCATGTTACATACAATAATTAGAAAGTCCATTACATATTAGACATTAAAATAAGACTTATTTTATCTTAATTTATGTTATGTTATGTTATGTTATTATTGTTTCTAGATGCCTATTTGTGTTTCTAATGAGAGGGAGAAAGAAGGGGTGTGTATTTGGGTGGAAAGAGAAGTAGGGAAGACTTGAAAGGAGCTGGGGATGGGAAACGGCGATCAGAATATACTGTATGAAAAGAATCTATTTTTAATTTTAAAAAAATTAAAGAAAAAAACAAAACACCACCACCAACAAAAACTAACACAACTTCCTACAGTGGTAAATGGAGCCAGGTAGAAACAGGTTGTAATAAAAAAGAAGTTCAAGATTAACATAACAGGGTGTTTAATAAATCATTTTCAAAAACTAACGTATCCAGTTAAAATCAGAACATATATTTTGAGTAAATAAAATATCAGCCCTGTATGTGTCCTAGAAATAAAAAGGTGGGCACATCCAGAAAAATGAATAATCATCCTTCCAACATATGTAAAATAAATAACCCATAAACCTCGTGAGAAAAACATTAACACTTAGATTTAAAGCATTAACTTTTATTTTAATTTTCCATACAACCGACTGTTAACTTAGTCTTTATGTCTTTTAATATTTCATGTTTCCTACTTGATGATTTATCCTTACATCTTTGAAAAGCAGTACAAGCAACTGTTTTTTCATAAATGCTTTTTTGGTTTATATGCAAGCTGTTTTTGGTTGTTCTGCACTTTATTGAAAAACATCTTCACTAAATGATCATTGGTATTTTTGGAAAACTTAGAGGAGATTTTCCAACATTTTTTGCCAATAATAAACATGAACAATAATCAAATCAACATACTATTTCACATAAACATACATACATATATGTAGTGCCAGATTTTAAGAACTGAAAGTTCAATAATCCACAGTGTAAATGGGTAATTGTGCTAAGGCCCCTTGCCAGATTCTCTGCACCTTTTACAGCCCTTTAATTCTGTAGAGTGAGTCAGTCAACTAGGGTTGCCTTCCTATTGGTACAGTAGATGTTTTGCTTATAATTTTGTAGAGCTTTGATTAAGTTACTCTTGATACAGTTCCAGCATACAGAAATGCTCATAGACTGCAACATAAACATTCTAAGAAGGTAAAAGAATTCTATCTTGACTCTATGTCACATGTACTGACACCTGTATATATTGTATTGCTGCAGTGATTTTTTATGTATGTATCTATGAACACATATTGTTTAAATGGAGATAGAGAAAGAATTGTTAAGCTGGTGGCATCTACATTTGAAGATGTTTCTCTCATGTAACTACTCTTGCAGACAAGAATGACTGATCTTTCCCCCAGCAATGATGTCCATGCTCCAGTTACATTAATTTATGCAAAAAAAAAAATCTTCAGTTAGGAGGAAAGAATGGCAAGAATCTCCAGAAGAATGTAGTGATTTTATCCTGTTTTGCAAAACTAGTTTAGGCATCTTATTCAAGCTTAAAATATGTGAAAATAAATCATGAATGTTCAACAGAGTTTACTGTGGCTCAGAATATAATCACTGAACCAGCTAGGACATCGGACAAAACCATCATCCAGCTATGCTCACACAAATAAAAATGAAGGTAAGGGCCATGAGGACTACTGAGGCAGAAAAGTAAAAGTACTGTCTGTAGCACTTGAGAACCAAAGTCCTCTAAAAGGGGTTGTTTCAGTGAGGAACAAATGCTATCTGCCTCGAAGAGCAGAATGACTGAAAGAAAACTAAATACTTCTTTCAGAATAAAAGAGTAATATTAATCCCCAAGATTTCTAAAAGTATAAAAACTAAATTACATAAAAATTCTACTTTGAGGGTAGTATAAGAGTGCACACCTGTAACCCCAGAGCTTCAAATGTAGAGGCAGAAGGATTGGTTTAAGCCTATTCTTAGCTACATGACTGATTATAGCCTGTTGTGAGACCCTAGCCTTTATCATGTAAGTCTCTAGATAAAGTAAGCATAATATACACATTAAAACACGACTTTAGTTTGACACTGAATGCTGTGACTAAAAACAATGGGGAGCATTAAAATAGCAAGCCATAATTCAAGTTCTAGAACTACAGATTCAGTAAATAATCACTTTTATCACTAAAACTAGATTAAAAAGTATTAACAAAAAAAGGGAATTAAAATAGCCATCACATGAGATCAAGAAGAGTAACAGTATGTGAAGTCAAGTTTTACCAAGAAAGGAAAAATAAATCAGAAAATGATGGTATCTCAGTCTTTTAGAGAAAAACTGGGAAACTTTCGAAAGTGAGGCTGAAGGGAGTGTCCTCTTCAGTAAAACTATGAGCCAACAGTAACATCATACTGTAAGCACAATGAAAAATTACCTTAGGAAATAATAGCCTTTCTTGAATAACAAGGCAACAAACACCCATGCCCCTGAATCTGAAGAATGCACTTGAGTTTTGTGCTCTTGTTGTATTTATGTTGGAGGATGGGAACACTAATAAAGATGTGAAAGAAAAACTTGAAAACACCAAATCTAAAACAGCTCATGAAAAGACAATGCAGGGCTCCAAAGAAGAGGCCTCTTGGCAGGGTGATATGATTTTCTGCTATATTTTGACATTTTAGGGAAATCACAACAAATTAATTAAAATAGAAAGTGTAGGACACAGTTCTCTACGGCTCTTGTACTTACATGTGGATGATAATCAGCCTGAATAAAGTCAAGGAAGTCCTATAAAACATGGGCTCTATGAGGGTGGAGAAACGCTAACTTACGTGATCAAAGTTGGTATATAGCTTTGACAAACAGCTGGCAATAAAATTCATCAAGTAGTTACTAGTCTGAAATATTTAGTTACTCTGCATGTATATATATACATGGGTAAGGATATGCATGTGGTAAACAGTGTGCAGAACCATAAAGAAAGTAATTTCCTAACTGTATAGGTACCTAACATAATAAACAAAATCATGTATCCCATAGAGATTGAAATTTGACAAATTTGGGGCATAATTTAGCTGAATTTAAAGTAACAATTTGAAAAAGAAAATATGCATAAAACCCAATTTTACACATACAAATACTTGGCAAACATAAAGTTACCTATTTCCAAAGCATGATAGAACAAGACATTACACACTGGAGTAATTGTAATGCATTTATTTTTAGCTCAGATAAAGTCGAAATCTTTAGTTGGAATAGCCACTTTCAAACAAACTCACTATTTTTCACTTGAAAATTTTGTATGACTATGCCTAATCCTTTAGAGCTAGTTATTTTCTTCAAAGTAGCCTTTGTACAGAATTTGGATCACGTACCCATGCCTCTGTTTGAATGGGCTTGATATTGCTTAATAGCACCTCTTCATAGTTTCCGTAGTCAGTGAATTTAACAACCGCTGTCATACCCGAAGAATGGAGGGCTTCAACTTCTGCTCGGTAAAACTGAGGAGGCAAAAAGAAGTTTGAAATAGGACATCAGTGTTGTCTACAGAGGTAATGCCTTCTTGGCCAGGACATCTTAATATTGTCGATACAATGAGAAAAGATAACAAAACACATTCTCCACATCATTCTAAAAGTTAAGTAACTCCAAGTATGTACCAAGAACAAGTTGGTTCTTCATTAATATATTGGTAATAACTAGTGCCTCTTACATAGTATTAAGTTAATGCCTGATGTTTTCTCTTCGTGTCTGAGAGTGCTACTTAGTTTACAGCAATCTGCTGGGATGTCCTAATCCTAGGGCTTTGGCATACATTCCTCTCGCCCTTCCTCTATTGTTTTTAGACTCAGTATTCTGTTCTCAGTTGTTCTGAGTATATGTTTTAATTTTAAACTTCTCAAATTATGTCAGTTCACAATAAGTTCAACAATCATACTGTAGCCTAGGAAAACAAATAAGCCAATACCTTTTGTGGAACTTAAAATTTAATCTTTGTCTCCTGTGATTCTGTACAGTAACTGAAAGAGTATAGTATATTCCACTTATCTGGTTTTTAGATTCAACGTCCCAAAATACAGTCTTAACACAGAGGCAAGTTAAAAAGCCTTATTTAAGAAATCCAGCAACACCGGGCATTGGTGGCACATACCTTTAATCCCAGCACTCAGGAAGCACAGGCAGGCAGATCTCTGTGAGTTCGAGGCCAGCTTGGTCTATACATCTAGTGCCAATACAGGTTCCAAAGCAATACAGAGAAACCCCGTCTCAAAAAAACAAAAACAAAAACAAAAACAAAACAAAAACAAAAAAAAAATCCAGCACTAAATAAAGCCATATATTTAATTTCTTAAAAAACAAACAAGCAAACAAACAAAAAACAGTACCTGACAACTTAATAAAGGTTACCCATATTAAAAACAAAAACTTAATCTATAATGTGAAAAGTAGTGAAATATGGTTGTAATGATGTGCTATTTTAAAAAGCTGTGAACTTAACAAAGAACTTCTTGTAAGGATGGAATTCATTAAAGATGAAGAATGTTTAGCCAGGAAAAGGATATTCCAGGGGAAATTATGGGGCAGAGAGATGAATATAGGGAACTAATACAAGATTTAAACTAATTATGATATGATGTGACTGTTCAACAACAAATTAGGATCAGTAAGTACTAAAGGTATGATAATGAAGAGTCTACGAACAGTTTGTATTTCATGTATAGGTAAGAGATTTTTAAGTAGAATGATCATGTGGTCTAAGACAAACATCATAGTGATGACATTATCATCGGCAAAGTTGGGGGATCTAAGATTACAGGCAAGGGAAACAATTTGGAGGTTACTGTTATAAGATTCAAGTCCAGAGGGGAAAAATAGTTCAGTTAGTTTTATAGTGTAAAGAGAGTGGAAAACTGCCTCAAATTCTTAGTTCTTCTATAGAAATAAAACAAGGAATTGTGTAGAACTGTGTAAACATTACAATATATTGGTGATCATCTCTAAAACATAATTATAATAAAATTAGGGCATGGTTTCCTAATGGTAGTTATAAACCATTTCTTTTTTTAAGTTTCTTTGTTTCTGTCTAAAAAAATCTGGAAGTTTTCTATTCTTAACAAAATAAAAATGTCCCTCTTCAGTCTAAGGGACCTCTGACACTGAAACCAGGATGTATCCCTGGTGCACAAAAGGACTTTGGGAGTGCATTCCCCATGGAAGGATACTCCTTTAGCCTAGAGGCAGGAGGGAGAGCCTAATCCCTACTTCAAATGACTTGACAGATTTTGATGACCCCTCCTAGAAGGCATCACCCTTCCTGTGAAGTAGAGGGGGTGGGATGGGAGAGTGGTTGGGGGGCATGGGAGGGAGGGGGAACTGGGATCAATGCGTAAAGTAAAATAAATAAATAAATAAAATAATAAATATATGTAAAAAAGGAAAAAAAAACTTGTAGGAAATAAGTAGGTTCTTAGAACTTGAAGAACAGATTGTGTGTTTTTGCCATATCCCTCCCAAAGGTGTTTCACCACAGCGAGGAAGGCTGCATCTGAAAGTAAACTGTGCAGCTGTTGGTTCATGCTGTCATGGTGACACCTCCAGTATTATATGTTTTGTGTTTCAATAAAACCTTTCAAGGTTGAAAGGGGGAGGGCTCTTAAGCTGGGTGGCTTTAGGAGGTAAGTGATTCTATCCCTTCACAGAGCGAATAGTGTTGATTTCTATTACTTAAAAGTATAACCTAGAATCTAAAGATGGCCATCCTGACTGAAAGTATAAAAGCCAATGTAAATCAAAGTGGTCACCTTTAAAGACCCTCTAGTTGTTCTAACAATACTGTAATAACTAAAATATTTTGCATATCAACTTAATTTGAACTATTATTATAAACATATTCAATACAGGCAGCAAATGAATTCAGCACACTGGGTTTTTTCCTATGTTCATAATATAGTCTTTATTTTGATAAAGTGCCTATTAACTATAGGCTATCACTAGTTATGACAAATAATTAGACTGTTTCATTGAAAAGAAATGTTGTATTTGATCCTATCAGCATACTGATTTCATAGACAATTATAATTAAGATTAAAATTTTCTTAAAAAGTATTTATGGGAGGCATTTGGATATCAATACATATAGCTAGTGTTAGGGACCATCACCATCCTCACTACCTCACGCCTCTGAGATGGAAAATTACTGACTAAGAAATAAGCAGAATGTTCAGCAGAGCATTCTTAGATATAGGCTTGTGGCTTTACCACCAGTTAAAGAATAGCTCAGGATATTCCTCCTGTTGTAGCTTTACAGCCCGTTAAAGAATTGCTCAGGATAGTCCTCCTGCTACAGTTTTACAGCCAGTTAAAGATTAGTTCAGGGCATTCCTTCTACTGACCCTTTCATCCTGCCCACTTGCAAACCCTACTCACATCCTGCCTATGGTCCTATATAAGCCTCCCCTGAGAAAATAAAATTTGGCAGCTTGATCATAATATTGACTTGCTGTAGTTCTTCTTACCCCTTGTCCTTCGTTTCCCCCTAGGTGTATCCCAGTTCCTTGTTGACGGTCCCACAGGACATCTAGGCAACCATTGTTATGGTTGCATTTACCAGTTTCCTCAGCCAAAGTGTTAAATCCTTATTTTGAAGCAGTAGGTTGTATGGTACAAAAATGCTATATGGAGTCTAGGAGATATTTTGGCAGGGAACCAAGCATAATACATGTTCCCTATACCAAATAGCAAGTTAATCAATTACTTCAAAACCTTTACAACCAGCATTTAGCAGGCAAAGGGATGTTTACTTAGGTGGTGGGGGGTTACCTCCCTTTATCTGAGAGTAGGCTCAGGCACCAGCCATGGCAATCCTGACTTAAGGAGTTAATTTTCTTTTACATTAGAAGTTCCCTTTCTCTGTATAGATTTAGGGCCCTAGTTTTTAAGTTTTTATTAATTATAATTTTTGGTCCATCAGCTTTTGCTCACTTTTGAGGAAAAATTGATAATCAGTTTCCAGCTCATAGACTGTTATAATTTGTGATAACACATCCTTTTGTATTCCCTAAAATTGTAAGGAGTAATCTTGTAAAAAATGACATGTTAGTTTTTACTGATGGTTCTTCTAATTGATAGAAAAGAATATGTAGTACAGACAGGTATAGCTCCAGCTCAGATAGTTGAGTTACAAGCTGTTGCAATGGTTTTTCAGCTTCTAATAAATTATTCATTTAACTTACATACTGATAGTCATTATATTTTCAGAGTTCTTCAAGTTTTAGACACAGTTTCATACATTGGATCTAGTAATAATCAGGTTAAAATACTGTTTGAGCAAATTCAAAGTGCCATTCATTTTAAAGAGAGTCACTGTGCTTTGTGGGTCATATAAGAGCTCATTTAAACTTTCCTGACCCACTGGCTAAAGGTAATGAGTCAGCTGATAGACTGATAAAAATGATCACTTTATCTCAGGTAGAATTAGCTCAGCAGTCACACAGCTTTCATCATCAAAATAGTAATAGTCTAAGAAAACAGTTTTGTTTAACTATAGAGACTGCTCGACAAATTGTCAAACAATGTGATGTGTGCCCACAATACTTACCTGTAACTAATAATGTAGAAGTAAATCCTTGAGAACTGCTTCCTAATCGTTTATGACAAATGGATGTTACTTATATTGCAAAATTTGGCAGATTGAAGTATGTACACATGGCAGTTGATATGTATTCAGGCTTCTTAATGGCTACTACACAAACTGGAGAAGCCACTAAGCATGTGATAAGTCACTGTTTAAAATGTTTTGCTTACATGGAGTTCCAAAAAATTATAAAGACAGACAATTGATCTGGTATACTAGTAAAGCATTTCAACAATTTCATGCCCAATAAAAAATTAAACATATAGCAGACATTCCTTATAATCCTCAAGGGCAAGGAATTGTAGAGCATGCTCATAGCTCCTTAAAAACACAACTTATAAGAAGGGAGTCCTGCCTCCAGTCTCCACATGATACATTAAATCATGCACTCTTCATTTTCAATTTCTTGAATGTGGATGCCCTTGAGCAACCTGTGGCGGACAGATTCTGGCATGATGGAACTCAAGAGACTTTTTACTCAAGTCAAATGGAAAGATCCATGCACGAACTATGAAAAGGGCCCAACCCTGTCCTAGTATAAGGTCGAGGGGGGTCGAGGGCATGTTCGTGTGTTCTTGAAGGAAGAAAATGAGGCCCAGTGGCTGCCAAACCATTAGGTGAGATGCGTGGAACAGAGAGAAACCAGACCTGAGACTACAAGAGTATAATTACCTCCTCTCCCTCCCGCCCTGTCTCTCCCCCTCTGTCTCTCTCAGAGGTCATTCTTTAGAACAGGCAAGGCTTAGACCTATTGTTTTTACAACAAGGAGGAATTTGTGCAGCACTCAAGCAGGAATGTTGCTTCTATACATATCACAGGTGTGACAAAAGACAGTATGGCCTAGGTCAGAGAAGGGCTAGAAAAAAAAGAAGCAGCGAGAATAGGAACCGGGCTGGTTCCGAAACTGGCTGTCAGCCTCACCATGGCTTGCTACCCTACTCCCTTCCATTTTAGGACCCCTTGCTGGCTTCTTAATTCTGCTTGCCTTAGGCCCTAAGGCCATTAAGAGGTTAACTGACTTATCTGCCAACAGATCGACTCCCTGATGGCAAAGCCTATCCAAGTACACTATCACAGGCTTGACCTCAAGGACTATAATCATGGTGAGCCTATAGAAGGTGACAACCCACGACCAAGAGGGCCACTTCCCAGGGAAGCCTCCTTCTGCTAGTGACAAAACTAAAACATCTCCCACTGAGGTGCACCTTGTGGGAGTGCAATGAAGAGGCCACCAAAGGCGCCTATCCTGGGCTTCATGGGAGTACACCTGGTTGCATGAAGGTTGATGTCAGAAAAACCCTTCTCTCCTCAAAAAGGCATCACGGCAGGCCTGAGCAATCTCACCAGTGAAGGCTGGGTTAGCTTGCTTCAGGATATATGTCACATAACTAGCTAGGGGGACCAAGATCCCTACTCCCACTTGTGGTGAGATAGTGTCAATGGCCCACCTTCTTACAGGAAAAAAAAGGAGGACTTGCCAGGAGCGATCGTGGCATAAGCCTTAGAGATTGCCAGCTTTTTCTTAGAATAGCCCATCGAGTTAAAAGATAGCTACTTTCAGTCCGGATCTCCCTTCTCCCCCTCCCCAACTTCCTGAGAAGTAGAATTTAGGGCTTACAGGGTTGCAGTCAGGTTACTTGTAACCCCTCCTTATACAGGTATTTAACCAGTCCTGAGACCTCTTCCCCTGCTAATAACCTGCTTATCTCTACCTACATTTCCCCTTAGCAGATATCCCACTCACTTTCAGTGACCTGTAATGAAGAACACCAAATATGAAATAAAATACCTTGAGCCTGGAAGATTGCTCTGGGGCTAAGAGTATTTGTTGCTTTTGACAAAGACTTGGGCTTGGTTCCCAGCACCCATATAGTAACTCACAATCATCTGTAACTATAATTTAGGGGACCTGACACCTTCTTCTGGCCTCCGTAGGCACCAGGCATGAACATGATCACAACCATCTATAACTCCAATTCCAAAGGAATACAACCCATCTCTTCTGATTTTCATGGGCACCAGGCACACACATGGTCCACATACACATATGAAGGTAAAACACTCATACACATAAAATAAAATTTTCTCAAATAAAATATCTTGCAATAAATCTAACCAACAAAATCAAAGACGTATACAGTGAAAACCTAAGATACTGAAAATACAAATTAAAGAAGACAATGGAAAGGACACCCATGCTCATGGATTGGTAGGATTATTACTATGAAAATGGCCATACCTCACCCTCCCCGTAGAGTAGGTGGGGAATGGGATGGGAGGAGGGGTTGGGGGGAGCATGGGAAGATGGGAAGGAGAGGGAACTGGGATTGATGTGTAAAATAAGAAAAAATAAGAAAGAAAAAAAAAGAAGAAGAAAAGAAAATAGCCATCCTACCAAAAGCAATATAGTGCTGCTAAATGGACACAGTATTAAAACAATTTCTAAATTGTCATACTAATAGATCAATCTGAAAAGCTTCTATTTGTAGTAATTGGTGTAGTTGATGGTGACAACTGGCTATGGTTCAGAGACTAAGAGACTGCAGAATGCTTAGCCCTACAGGGAACTCAAATACTAAACTGGCTTCCCAAGCAGCAGGGAGCAGAAAAGCCCTAAGTCAGTGGATAACTACAGGAAAGCATTATCTTCTAGATACAGCAGGGCAGTGTATGAACTCATAGTTGTAATAGCTTTTATAAAACCTGTGAAAGCTCAGACCACACCAAATCACAGAAAGGAAAAAAATAAGTTGGGCACACAATCCACTCCAGGCCTTGGAGTTATTGGCACAGTCTTTTAAAGATTGAAATTAAATTTTAAAATGGGACATGGAACTAAACAGAGTTCTCAAAAGATGAAAACAAAATGGCAAGACAAAACAAAATAAAACAAGAAAACCAAAACACTGGCAGAGTCACTGTTACTATGGAAATCTGTAGCTGGTCCTAGGAAGGAAGGAAGGAAGGAAGGAAGGAAGGAAGGAAGGAAGGAAGGAAGGAAGGAAGGAAGGAGGGAAGGAAGGAGAGGAGAGGAGAGGAGAGGAGAGGAGAGGAGAGGAGAGGAGAGGAGAGGAGAGGAGAGGAGAGGAGAGGAGAGGAGAGGAGAGGAGAGGAGAGGAGAGGAGAGGAGAGGAGAGGAGAATGAAAATAGATCTTCAGCATGAACCAGGGAATATACCAAAAAGACTTTATACCCTATTATAATGATACCTGCTCATCCGTCTTCATTGATGCTCTATTCACAACAACTGGTTAATGGATAATGAACATGTGCTATATTTACACAACCGAATATTATTCAGCTGTTCAGAAAAACAAAATTATAAAGTTCACAGGTAAATGGAGGTAACCCAGACTGACAAAAACAACTGTCATATGTGTTCACTCGTTTGTGAATATTAGCTTTAAATCATCTGGTATGCATGCTTCACTTGGAAAGCCCAAAGAGTTCAGGAAATGAGTAACAGTACATAGTATGTAGCTGTCTGTTTTGAACATTCATACCTTGTTGTCTTCCCAATAAAGTGCAAAACATTCATCTCCCGGTTTCCACATTTTTGCATACTCCACGGGAATAGATGATTCTATCACCTTTTCAGGCTTAATTGGCCCAGATCTTCTTTTGGGCCCACTATTATAAAATATTTTATCATCATAAGGTACAGCTGTGACAGGTCCTGCTGGCTTCATTGGTCCTACACGTCTTCCTCTCAGTGGCATTTCTGTCTCTCCATTTGGAACACCAACAAAACTATTACTTCGGACAGGATTCTGGTAATCAGTATTTACACTAAAATGTTTTTCAATTTTGAGACCACTAAAGGCTTCATTATTCATTGTCCGTGATTTCCTGTCATAAAAGTGATCAGGATTACCTGTTTGGTTTTCTCTTTTCCCACGCTTTTGATTATTGTAATCTATGAATTCTTGAGGAAGTGGGTTTTCTTTTGGCTCTGCATACACTGGACCTCTTCCTGATCTGTTTTGTGCAGAGTTATCTCTTTTTTTAAAAGCGCCATCATTGTGCTGAGAACTTAACGGATAGGAAGCGTCTTTAGTTCTGTCATATCTAGAATATGGCCTGTCACACTTGATCCTCTCTTCTGCCCACACTTCCGAACCAGAAGAACCGCCGGGTCTTTCAGAGCCTCTATTTCTAGATAATACGCTGCTTTCTAAGGCTGACTTTGAATTGGGGGTGTCTCTTTGAAAACGAGGAGGTTTCTCATTTCTCGGCTGCCTGGTATCATTTCGAGGAAGATGTCTTGATTGATTGCTACTATCTTTTATCCCATTCTGTTCAGTATTCAATACTCTGTGCTGTCCTTGGTGAAGGTGCTGAGGCTGTGACTTTGGTTCTAAAAGGCAAAAGTACATCATGCACATTAGGATGAGGACAGTACTGGCAGTTCCTTATTTGAAAATTCCTAAACTATACTGGTAGAAGGTTACTATTTTAACAACTCCTATCTTCAAATCTTGTTACCTTAATTCCTGGCTACTTTTGTGTTCTATTTACCTATCATGAAGTCTTCCTGATTAGCACATTAGAAAACTAAAGTGATGATGTGGATCAAGATAAAAGCATTTTAGCAGTTGCACATTTATTCTATGTCAAGTGAGGGTCTATATACTTCTGTTGTTTCACAAAAATGACTACAGTTTTACCAAATATAGTGGTTTACCTTTGATGAATGTATTTGGTTTTTTTCTGTTTGTTTGTTTTGACATAGATCACTGTCAAGATTCAGAACTTTGTATATCTCCTAGGGTCATCACATTCCCAAAGATGGGCACTAATGACATTTGCTTAACCTAATCCTAGCATTGCAAGAAAACTACCCTCATTGTTCTCCAGATAGTAAACATCAATTTAATGTCTCTATATGTTTCTAACACTCACTGGAAGCAAAGGAATTGTCAGATAAATAGCTTAGGTCAACAAGAATAAAAGAGATATTTAAAAATGCTAAGTAACAGACTACAGATCGAGATTCAAAATGGCAAGACCGAATAGAAGCTAATAAAAGAAAACTTATCAAAGTCTTCAAAGCAGGTCCACTGGACTTGTTACGTAAAGTATAACAAATTATTTTCTAGGTAAGTTTCTGTATGCAGGCCAACCATCTATTAATTACGACAAAAAGAAATACCTAAGGCTTCAAATGCTTGCCAATAAATTTAAAATAAACTTTCCCCAAGAATACCTGGTAAACATTCAAATGTCTTATTTTAATAATAATACTCAATTTAAACAATGTGCTCTTAAAGTTTTCATTTATGTGTATGAGAGAGGATGTAAATATATTGTATATGTCACGTGTATGTGTGGGGTCTTATCTTAAAATCAGTAAATACACAAAAAAAGTATGTACTTTAAAACTTAACATATGTAAAATACTTAGAATAGTTTCTGTCTTTAGTAAGTTCTCAGTAAATATTAGCCATCATTATTATGACATTATAAATATTATAGTCATGTAAATAAGCTTACACAATGACATCCAGGAAACACCTGTAACTTGGATGAGAATCTTGTGTTTGTTTATACTTTCTCACCACTACAAATGCCCACCATTACCTAGAATATTAACTTTAGTTTTCTGCTTGTTTGTTATTGTAAGTAGGGTAGAAAGAGTACTGCATTAAAATCTTGATTGCAAAATTATAAGAGAGAAAATTCAGATACGTTTGAAAATAAGTCATACTCTAATGTTGCTTTGCACTTAAAATATAAACATTCTTTATTTAAAAATCCAAATATTCTTGTTGTTAGAAAATGAAAACCCTTAGCAATCCTATCACTCACAGCCACTGTTAAAGTGTCAACGTTACTTTTTAATATGATTCGTAGAAATCTGTTTACATTTCCATAACAACAACAAAATGCTTCTTCTGTTCTTCACTCAGACACATACATACATTAAAAGAAAAGGAGATTATAGGAAATACTTTTACACCTCAACCAAGCTGAAGGTGGAGTGAGTGTGGGTGTTACTCAGAACTGTTTTCTCCAGTGTTTCACAACCATAGCCTGGAGACACTCAGTAGATATGTGCCGAAAGAATTACTGAAAACACTGGAAATGAAACAAAGTCCCAAGTATAACTTACTTGTTTACTGCTTTCACCTCTGCTAAGCTAAGGAAAAAAGGGGAAATTCCATCCTCTCTTCTGCCCTCTGAAGGCAAGGAGAACATCTGAGCACACTACAGAAGATTTAGACTAAACAACAGCAAATGATAAACCAAATTCTTAAAATTGAAAGCAAAAACATGACAATAAAATACAAAACTATCTTAGGGACAAGAACATCAAAGTAGATTGACAAAATGAAATTCAAAAAGAAGTCCACATATCATCTGACAACACTGTCCTTAACAATCCAGGACCAGCTCAGCAGGTTACTAATGTGTAGTTGAACTAAGCAGAAGAGCTTCAACAATTTTTGTATAGCAAACACAAACCATTAAAGATAGCTGAGTCTATGTAATATACACAAAACAGAAGCACAATACTCTGTAACAGGCATATATACATTATACACAAAACACACACAGAGAGAGACAGAGACAGAAGTCTACACATCTTTACACCTAACAATCACAACTAGCTTTTGTCAGTTGTACAAATTATGGTATTTTATATAAATCTTTAAAGTATTGAGTACATTTGATGAAGATCATAAGATCCTACTCAAAAAATATACCAGTTTAAACTTTATATACTTTGTTTCCTCTATAAAAAGTATTTCTTCTATAAATGTATTTTCTATGACTCTGACTTCATGTAAAGCATGGTGAGAACTTATCAGTCCTACTAAAGATGCAAATACAATTATTAAGTCACCATGTATATTTTACACATAAAACAATAAAATATTTTTAAAATATTGTATGGGGGAAATGAGAGAAAGGTCAGCAGTGCCTGCTGCTCTTCCAGAAGACTCAGACCACAGCCCCCTGTAACTACCTTTCTACAGGATCCCATGCCCTTCTCTGATCTTTGCAGGCACACACACAGCATCCCGCAAACACATATACATATACATAAAATAAAAATAACAAAGTAAATCATAAAAATGTTTCAGACTCCACTGGAAGAAACAATCCACCAACCTAAACCCATATGTAATGGCTGATTTAGGTTATCAAAGTGTTGGATTAAGAAAAACATAGGGGATTAAAGGTTTTTCTTTAGATGGACCTGTGATGGGATCTCTAGAGTGTTAACTGAGGGGGGGAGAGCCACCATGCTCATGGGCAGCTCCATCCTAAGGCTGTGGTCTGCAATGCATAAAAAGGAAACAGGAAAAGTTAGTGGGACAACAGCATTCTGAGCAGCCCAGATATGAGCAGACTGCCCAACATTGCTTCTCTTGCTGGCATACCTTCCCTGTTACAATGACCACTTATAGACTGTGAGACAAAATCATCCTTCCTCCCATGATCGGCTTCTTGTCAGGCACTGTCACAGAAAGGAGAAAACTAACATCACGTACTATAAAATGTCCATGCTAGATTGAATACACTGATCTGGACAATTCTCTTCAAAATACTCATTCCATTGCCCATATAGCATTTCATCTATGGTATTCCCTAGCTTGTTTTCTTAACCCACCACTTCATCACTCTTGTGAGAATGCAATCAGTGGTACACAGGACTCAGCTTGAACGTCTTACAAAAGCTGGTCATTACATTTTCACAGAAATCCACAAGCTAGTTTTTAAATGGCCGATAGTCTGAAATCAGGCATGGTGGGAACACTTACACCACATTATCAGCAAAATATAAAAAGCCAGGCCTCCCTGGCTGCTCCAGGACATCTCTGAGAGCCAGTTATGAACCACCTCTCAGCACCCTCTTCACTGGGCTCCCACTCACGAGAGCTGCTCAATGTCCTTTGCTGGCTTTCCCACCTAGGCTTGATCTCTAAATTCAACTGCTTGCTAGGCCTCATGCTTTGATCTTATGAATTTATGTGTTAAAGTTAAACTTTCCTCCCAAAATAAATAGCTGCTCAGAAATGCCAAGTCAGAGAAAGTTATGCATTGGGAAAAAGAAAATATCCGAAACCCCAGTTCTCAGGGTCTCTGCTTATAAGTGAGACATTTTCTTACTTCAAGCATGTTTCTATGTCACATGGGAATCATAACATCACTTAGTGATGGCAAGCCTTTAGCATGGTTCCAAGAACACAGCAGTTCACAGTAAATACCATCCATCATTTTTTTTATACAGAAGAAAATCCTGGGAGAGTAAACTAAATGTAAAAAGAAAAGCCTGTATTGTTTACATTCTGAGAAAACAAATGCATATTTAACAAAATATCAAAGAAAATTAATTATATATATCATAAAATAAAATGATGTACATTTAGTGAGATGTTTTATTGATTAATGATTGCTGTGGGAGGGCTCAGCTGACTGTGGGTGGCACCACCCCTGTGCAGGTGTTCAACAGGGGTAATCTTCCTCAAGTAACTAATATTCAATTATTTGATATGTTGCATCCATACAGAAAATTTCAAAACTTCAGAATGTATATTTGGATCATTTTGAATTAAGAGCACAACTAATAGCATGCTAATGAAGCCATAGTCTGGAGGAAACTCACAGACCTCTACAATCTCTTTTCAGTGTTTTATAGACTCTTAACATCTCCGTCCTTTCGGCGCTTGGCTGCTAGTAAATTTCGGAGATGTGTGTAGCTTACTGCTAGCTAAATCATTAGTTTAAGAAAATAACTACATAGGTCATGCATATAAAATAATTAAGATTTCTAAAATATGCAGACTGGAAACCACAAGAAACTAGATTTTCTACTGTGTGATAAACACTGAGAAACAACCTACGGAGGGAGGGAAGCACAGATGTGGCTGACACTCGCAGGTCACAGTCCATCACTGACTGCACTGCAGGCGGAGCTCAATTTGCAAGCACATGCCAAGTATGGATAAAGCCCTGGGTTCAGCTGCCTGCTCTGGAATTAAAGAAAAATGTTTCTAAAGCTAATGCTAGAACACATTTTCTAAGAAATGATCAGTTACTTCCGATAAAATATTTAAGGATAAAATTGAAGAAATAATAGCACATTTGACTCTTCTAGAGGAATTACATGTGATTTGGAAGTAAATGTATTACAAAACCTATATTATATTTAACACACACACACACACACCTTACACTTAAAGGAGGATGCTTTCTCAATAAGTTTAAAACACTAAACAGAATCTGACACATGGTCAATATTCCTCAAACAAAATACTTGGGAATATTTGTATTCCATATTTTAGCACAATTATATGACTTGGGGTGGGCTGTAAGTATAAATAAATATTCCAGCCCTTTTAGCATGCCTACATTTTGACTATTGTCTGCCATATAAGGTCAGACATGAAATCTTCAACATCAAGGCATAATGTCGTAACTCAAAAAAGATGCATATTTTGTGTTTGGGCCTTCAAAATTTTTGTTTTGAATACCATAACTAATATGACCCAAAAAGACCATCCAGAACCATGGCAAGACTATGAGGCATTTTCTTGATTAATGATTGCAACAGGAGGGCCTGGCTCACTGTGGGCGGTGCCATTATAAAAGACAGCATGGTGAGTGAGCAAGCCAGAACACAACATTCCTTTATACTTTTTGCTTCGGTTCCTGTCTCCAGGTTCCTATGTTGAGTTCCTGCCCTGATTTCCCTTTATAATGGATGGTAAACTCTAAGATTAAATACACCCTTTCCCTCAACGTCATGGTGTTTACCACATCACCAGAAATCAAATGAAGATACTTGCTAAGCTAAATATCGACTTTGGGGAATCCTAAAACTAAACAAACTCCTGAGACAGCTTGAAGCGAAGTGAACCAAAACAACACACGGATACTTAGAAAAGCTCCATTATTCAATGATGTATTAGAATTATGCATGTATGTGTGTGGGGGGGTGGTGTGTTATATATGTTAATGGAAACTGAAATCAGGCCCTCATGTATACCCGGTAAATGATAACTACCAAGCGAAGCTTCACAACTGCACACCAGTGAATTACGACCACTCTTAATCATATCAGCTTCTATAAAGACCCAAATACGGATGCCGATATGAACTGAAGCCAAATCGTGAAATCAAAGCATTCTTCAGAAGATCCCCATCCATTAAATGTTATGAAGACTGTTCTGAAAAGCTTTCTAGATGCTTCTTAGGAAAATGGTCAACATTTCCTACCATCTGTGAAGATCTAATTTTAAAATGTAAGATATATGAAAAAATTCCGAGTAACATGTTTCAGGCTATAACTGCAATTAAAAGGAAACAATGAAATTGTAAAATTTTCTAAAACCAATTCAGTCACTTGTCTCCATTGTTCGTTCCTGTAAGTCCCAGCTCACTTAATATTGTCACCGAGTGGAAGTAAGTTAACAAGAGAAAGAATAACAGAGCAGTATGTTAAAAAAAAAAAAAAAAATACACTTGAGAACAACCACAAAGCAGGCTCTCCCATCAATCTTGCTGTTTTCCCTGTATACATGAACACAGGACCAAAAGAACAGAGAAAACTTGTATAAGCATAATGACTTCTGTCTATGAGCGTATTCATTTATTGTATATCTGTTTACACCTATGTATGGAACCATGGATCTCTTCTCTATGGTGTCAACATCATTGGAGTCTGGGAGAGAAAGCTGCAGCTGATGGACTCAGTGTCTACTCAGCCAATATTAACAACAACGAGAGTAAATCAATAGTGTTTTCACATCAGCCTGATTAAGCACTGCCTAACCCATTCAAAACTATTTGACCTTATTTTAGTAATAAAGTTTTCAGATAAAGGACTAAACACTATTACAGACTACAAATATGCCTGAATACATACTATCATTTATGAAACAAAGCAATGAAACTAAGGAGCTTAGAAATGCTTATTAAAGAGTATTTAATCATTTACTTGGTGCATGTTATCATTTATTTAATATAAACTTTAAAATGAACAAAAATAAGGGGACTTAGCAGAAGATATATTACTGTGGTAATCACACATGATCTGGCACACTTATAAACTACAATAATATTTCATTTCCATATGCCAAATCACAGATGAGTTACATATTTAATTCAACTAAAAAGAAATAGAAAACCAAACTCATGATTTAAGAGACACTGTAAGATGTGAGTACGGGAATCAGGGATAAGGGGCATCGAGAGGTCTGAATGGGCACTGTGAAGGATGATTCTAGCTTAAGAACACTAAGAAGTCAGTCAGAACAGATGTGAAGACACAGCAGAGATTTCCCCTGCTGACCACGCAGAGGCAAAATCATGCTGCCTAAGTTCTGTCTTCAGCAACCAGAAGCCTGCTTGTATGAGTTGACAGCAGCCCCGGGAATAAGAAGCAAGAAAAAAAAGCACATTAGTCCTGCACCTGCAAAGAACAATTTCACAGCTCACAGCAGGTGAGCCTATAAGAGGAACGTGACACAGGGTTAGCTCACCACCCCACCCCAAATCTTAGCCACCTACAGAGTGTGTAGTCATTTGTCACACAGCAGCGGAAAACTAAGGTATCAGTCTTCTATTGACAAACACTGCTCTCTTCTCTCCTATGTTACCCTAACAAATGGTCTATGTCAAACAGGGGTTTTTCAAACAGTACAATGTGTTTTCTATAAATATAAAATATAGCAATAAACCCTGGTTTTCATGAAATATAGACATTCATATTTATATATGTACACACACACATATATATATACATATATTAAAAGCATTTTGTGAAAAACAACAAAAAAGAACATTTTGCTTCCAAGTTTATTTGACTGAATTTAAAAATAAATCTGAAAGAAAAACCAATTTTAATCTTTTTAAAATAACATTTGAAAATATTTACCATATTCTACACTTGTAGTAATACATATCTATCATGTTCATTTCTCCTTCCAGTATTTATGTTAATCACTACAGTGTATCATGTGAAGAAATATTACATTGTGAAAGCATACTCTCCCAGTAACATTTTACTACAATATGTACACATGGAGAAAAAAGAAACGGACCAATTTCACAAATGATGTACATGATATAAGTTATGCTCCAGCAAGTTTTCCAATACCACCATCTGTTTACACATCTAAGTCTGCTGTCTAGTAGAGTTGTGGGTGGAGTAGTTTTGTAGTATTATTCAACATGCAATTAGGGGCAAAGTAAGCTGGTGTCTGTTTTCAGAATATAACAATTACAACTTTCTCCTGTGTTTTCTCAAATGAAATTGACTATAAAATTCTAAACAACTCCAAATGAGGTTAGTCTTTTAAAAACAAACTGATACATTTTAAATTTGTTTTAAGTTAACCTACCTTCCACATTCAAAGTTCCCATTTTAGATTCCAAGAAATCAAATAATGTGCTTGGTGCTGATGGCCTTGCATTTCCTAGGTCCTCTTCATCTTCAGATCGTGTACGGCCCCTGCCTTTCCCTCTACCTTAGGTTTAAAACACATACATACATATAAAATGTATGAAAAGCAAAAGGAGAAACCACACTAAAATACAATCAGCAATCTAAAATAAGACTGTACATACTGTCTTCAGTTAATTCTATTTCTTGTCTAATAAAAATGCTTTTAAAAAAGATACTAAGAAGCATCTCTACTCATCAACATGATCTATTCAAGATCTGTCAAATCAACATGGGTCTTGGACTTGAATTACGGCTTTTTTTTTAATTTAAAAATATTTTAACATAAATGTATTTTCTTTCTACAAAGAAAAAACATTGAGTTACTCAAGTTTAGTGTAATTGTAGCTTTGCCTACACTTTGCAAACACTGCTATAACTTAGTTATCTCACACATTAACATAACATTTAGAATAGCACTCTACATACTTAAATGCTTATGTATGATTAATCATATGCATAGGGCTATTTCTCAATCTGTTTCTCAAATGAAACCACTTCTAACCATGTGATGATTAAAGAGTAAAACCAAGTGAAAGGTATTATTTGGTTAATTTTGGTAAGCTTTTTCTTATAAAAATAGCGCAGGTCTAGAAATTAACTACTAGAAGAAGTTAGTATACATCAGAGTCTCTCTTACTTGAAACAACTCTTCTAAAAAGGCACTGTTAGACACAGTTTATATAGAGCTAAGACACACTCACAGGAAGCTGCCTGCAACTACCTCGGTGGCTCCCAGCTTCATACTCCTAAGAACACAGTTACCTGATGTTACAGCATAAAGCTCAGCCTTGGCACATCATTTATCGTGCTGGCACGTGAACTATACCTCTAGGAGGTGGACCCACGACAGGCTTCTGTTTATTGCTGTTTAGAAGTACGTTCAATGCTGCTTCTAAGTTGTTGGCATTATCCATAAGTGCTTGTCTCGAGGCTTCCTTACTGAAGCCCATTTCTGTTATGTGCTTCAGTGCTTTCTCATCAACCTGAAAGGAATGCAGAAAGAAAAGGCTACAGGAAGGACTGTGGATACACTGTCTTTTAACTCCAATTCCATTCATAGCTGTCGGAACATGGTCAAAGGAATGATGCATGATGAACAATGCCTCAAGAGCCTGTGAGGGAGGCTCCTTTTACCTCAGGTGCATTTTGTGATTCCATGCTCCTGTGTTAAGCATTTGCCTTCAATTCATAAGGCATGGCTACTCTTGTTGGATATTAGCACATAGCTATAGAACCAAATCTGGTGCATAGATATGCTGTTTGCTGTCCTCAGTGTACCCCAGATCTGGACATGACCTTCTGCCTTGTTTGTGTGCCTTCCCAGAAAATCAGGAGTACACAAGAGCCTGGTAAACTGGTTCTGGGAAAGGGCTACTCGGTCAATATTTAGTATGTGCTTACTGGCATTTATTTACATGTTTTTTTCTGATCATGACTTTCTGGAATCAAACAACCTTCCTGAGATCATTGCATTCTTTGTTACAGTCGTGTACACTGGAACTGAAGGAAAGTTGCCTACAGCATTAGACTCTAGTCCACCCCATTCTTTCAGGTCCCTAGATCCCAGGCCCAACAATAAGATCTACCTACACTGGTCAACAAAAGTCAACAACAGCTATGGAAAAACTATCACAGTAACACAATATTCCAACTTACCGTTTCCACACTAACAGTCAAGGAAGAATTGGTACTATAGCAAAATTCCATTGAAAATTCAAAGCAAATTTTAAAAAATAAAAAGGAAAGAAAGCATAGCATATTTGTCCTGTGAATGACTGTCATGCTTACCAGTTCTCTATATACTCCTTCATGTTTGCTTTCTGATTTGGAAGCCTTTTCCTTCTGTAAAACGTCCCTATTTCGGTGACTGACAGAGCCCATATTGAGATTACTTCTGGCACCACCTCCACCTCCTCCAAATGTCTTGGTCTTCAGATAAGAGAAAAATAAACAGATATAACTAAACAGTATTTTTAAATAGTCATACAAACCAAGATATTACTGAAAAATCGAATGTATTTAAAAGCTTAATTATTTTTCACAAGTAAAAACAAAATAACAAATACTAATAGGTAGCATAGAGCATAAGTATCTACAAGCCATATTTTCTTTCTACAAGTTCAGGTGGGACAATAAATAAAATACAAGATTTTAGTTAAGTCATCAAATGAAACCTTTATGTTCATCAATATAGACTGAAATAAGATGATATAAACATAGGATTAGTTGTCCAAATTACTCTAGTAAAATATTTGAGTATGTCTTGGATCAAAGCCCTAGAACCATCTACAAGTCAAAGACCAATAATCAATTGAAGTATGTCAGTCTTAATCATTATATATAAACTGAGAAAGTAAATATAACATGAACACAAGAGTAGCATCCGTTTAATTCATTATTTATATTCATCATATATCATTCCTTAAAAACTACATGTAAAAGCCTAAGTCTATATATTACATTCTCCGAATAAAGAGAGCACACTGAACAATGCCAACATTACTGATTATTGACACAAAGGAGTGTAATAATTTGTGTAGTATGTAGGGGCAATTGTAGATGGTTTAAAGATGACAGTTCACTATTGCTCCTAAATTTCACAGAGAAACAAACTGGACACAAAAAGTCCATAACTCACTTCAGCACTGGGCTGAATTGTGAAGTTAATGCTTTGGGCTGCACGATTCTAGAGGCTTTGTGTTCAGCCCTGCTCTAAAGTACTTATAGAAAAAGGAAGGACAACAGAGCATCCCTAAGCTTTAGGTTTTGAAATTAAATAGAAGAATGATCACTCACAAATCGTCACTGTGTTCTAAATGCAGGAAACTATTTCAATATTAGTGAATAAAAACATTTAACCAACAAACACAGAAGCTCATATCAAAATCTGAAAACTCAATCAACAGAGAAAAAAACCCTAGTCCAAGTAAGCAAGAAATTCAAAACAAACTATTTAGCTAACTACAGTATAAGATAGAGGCTGTGTGTAAGCATGTACATAAGTACATTACAAAAACAGCCCTAAGATTAACATTTCCTGTACCTAATTAACATAAGAGTAAACTAACAAGACATATTTTGATATACTAATTAATCCTGGTTCACAATTCATTCCTCAGAAGGTTTACTTTTCATAAGCAAGTATTATAGAGGGAGAATATTTTGAGAAAGTGGAAGCTAGCTCAACTAAAAACAAGAAACCCTCTGCTATAATGTAAAAGAAAAATGTGCTTGGTTATTTCATTAATAAAGAAAAGGGGGTACAGGGATGATGGCTTGCTAATAGAAATATTTACTAGAATTGCCAAGATGAATTAGAAGAAGAACATAGGAATCCAACAGGCAGGCTTAAATCCCCAGAGGACAGCATTCTTCTACTTCTACAATACGTAAGGAGAACAAAATGACATTTGGGAATTAGTTATGTGAAAATGAATAATGACCATGAATAATTTAAAGAGAATGCAAAGGGGAGACTTGTGAAAATTATCTTACTTCTTTGCTCTTTGCAACCTCTGCAATTGCAGCAGTCCTTTGCTTCTCAAACTCATCATTATCATTTGCAGGCTTGACAGGCATTGAAACTTGTAATGTCTTCCGCCGATCTAGTTCTCTGCTATCCACTTGGACATTAGATGCACATTTCTGGGAAGATAAGTTCATATCGTTCAGAAATTCCAAAAGAGATAAAGAAATTATAGTTCTTTATAGAAAGAAGTAGTTCTTCAAAAAGAAATGTTTATAGTTCTCATCATTAGTAAGAACAAAAATAACATTCCATTCAACTGATTTTAAAAAAGTAGTAAGGAAGCTTATTACCATATAACTTTTAAATACATATAAATTAAAGGGTTTGTGGTGTGTGCGTGCCTGCCTGCCTGCCTGCCTGCCTGCCTGCTTGCCTGCCTGCTTGCGGGCGTGCCTGCGTGTGTACATAAAACATACTGTGATGAAAGAGCCAAGTTACATTTTAAGATAATTACTTTAAAATAGCTGTAAATTTCAAGCTGTCTACATGAGCTAAAACCACATTAAATTTGATCTTGTAACTAAGAGTTCAATTTCCACATTACACAATATCCATGAGTGAGATGGTACATGTTAACATGTAACAAAATGTGTCTGAACTTGTAAGTCAAAGACTAAAAACATGCTCTTTGCACCAATTAAGATACAAAGTTTTATGTGTGCAGTTTTGTAAGTTCCGATTTTTAATCTCATAATGTAATAATGGTGTCTCTGTCTGAAAACAATCTCTGAATTCTCAACACAGTACAAGTCCTCTAATGTGACTGCTTTTTTGTTTGTATGTTTTGCTTTGGTTTTCTCTTTTTCCCCAGCTCATTAATTAGAAGAAAGGGAAGAAGAGAAAATTTTCTCAGAAGTGTCACACAAATACAGCATACTTCCTCTGATAAACATGCTATTTATAGCAACACAGAGCCTGCATTATAGTTTAACCCACCTGAATGCTGTAAAATGCTATACAACACTGTTCAACATGAGTAAAAAATAAATACTATCATTGAAACTAAACCTTTGTTATATTTCCTAGCCCTATAAAACTATAATACAGATTTAAAATTCTGGACAATAATTAAGTCAGCAAGTATCTCTATGGAAAAAGTCATTTTTAATATCTTAAGTAATTTAAGAAAGAAATTTTACAAATGTTTCAGAAAAAAGCAAATTTTTACAGATGTATCAATTATTATTTTCAAGTATAAATTACAATAATATTATCATTCTTGTCTTTTTTTTTTTTTTTAAATCACAGACAGAATGTCACTAACATAGACCACACATTGGACTTCCTATCTCCTATTTTCTTTCAAAAGGGAGAGGGAATTATATTTTTTACATACTTAAAAAATCCATATGATGCAGAAATGACTCTAATTCTGAGTCCAGCTCATAAAAATTATTTGAAGATGCCAATCAACTGATCCTATCCCATATCTTCATATCATCTAGATACCTATTTAATACCAAAATTTCAAACAAAGTCCAAATAAAACAAAAAACAAAATAAAATGTTGGTTTCAACTTCCTACTTTAATGTCCCCAATTCACCTTCACTTTAGACAGCATTCTCTAAGTACAGAATAAATACAGTTAAAAATTTTGGTGGTGGGAAAAAAAAAAAAAAGGCAAAGCCAAAAGAAATAGGGATTCCTCTCAGTCTCATCAGGGTTAGGAGTACAGCAAGAGAAGGTGGGAGAGACTGCTGGGAACACAACTCCGGGTTGTACAGGAAGGAAGACACAAGACACAGGTCAACTCAAGATCTTCCTCAAAGTGCCTTTGCACTAGGAAAGGTGTGGTGATTTGAGGAGAATGGCTCCCAAGGGCTCATGTGCCTGAATGCTCAGTCGCCAGCTGGTGGAACTGTTTGGGAAGGATTGGGAAGTGTGGCCTTATTGGAGGAGGTATGTCACACTGGAATAGGCCCTGAGGTTTCTAAAGTCCACACCATTCCCGTTAGCTATCTCTCCCTCATGCTAATGGCCCAAAATGAAAGCTGTCAGTTACTGACCCAGCACCAAGCTAGCCCACCTGCTACCATGCTTCCTGCCATGATAGGCATAAATTCACCCTCTGAACTCTAAGTTCCCATTAAATTCTTTCTTCTAAAAGCTGCCTCGGCCACAGTGTTTCTGCTACAGCAACAGAAAACTGAAAATGGGTTAAAAATTACAGACTGGAGATTTAGTTCCTATAGAAGAATAATCCAGCCACTATAGTTGAAAACATCAGCCTGAAATAAAATTACGTTTCTGACTGAGATGAGGAATTGGCGGGAGGCTAAAGAAAAGAATTTTAGGGAAAATTTTGGTGTAAGTTTTTATCTCCTTACTTTAAAAATTCTTTGTTTTTAATTAACCTATTTTAGTTAGCTGTAATTTGTTCTTCATACATAACTCTTAATTGCTTCAATCTTTGGAGGAGCAGCAAAAGTATTAAATTCCTTATCCTTCATCTTTCCATGTATCTCCAGAGCATCTGAGTAAATAGTTCAGCACAAAGCTACATGCAGCTTGAGCACAATGGAGAACATTCTTTCCTGACTGAGTCCACCTAAAAGAAAGTCCTTACCTGTCCAAAGGGCAAAAAAGGAGGTGGGCCACCTTCAGTTCCAATGTTGCTTCTACTATGTTTTGATAAGCTCTGTTTAAAAACATAATCAGTCATAAAGCGTAAATCACACAAACACACTAGCCATATGCAAATGCACCAGAGATGCACTGCCTAGTGTTGAGTCTTAAGACACAACAGCCTTCTTTAAAGTAGTTCAAACTACAACACAGAAAATTCTGTATTCTTTATTTCAGTAACCTGGCAAAGGTTCGTTCATCGCCTCTCCTGACCAAAATGCATTCAAGTTTAATTTTTAGAAATATTTTTCAAGCTGTTGTCCTTTGGAGAAAACAGGACCCCCACCCCTCCAAATACAGTCAATTGATAGAAAATAAACTCTGGCAAGAACAGTTTTACTTTGAAGTACACAATCAATAGGGCAATAATGCCTCTAATTTTTCTACAAAAATGAAATTTTTAGAGATAACACTTTCTAAATAAAAAATCATTACTGATGAAAGTGATTTCTAGTACTTTAAACATCATATTACTATAGTTCATAACATAAAAAGTCACTTAATAACATTTTGTCAAATTATCTTAGACCAATTCGTACTTTGAAGAAATATTCAACCAAGTGGGTTCTTAAAAAGTTTTGTTATGCTTTGTGTGTATGTTCAGGCACACAAAAACACAAGCATATCGAGGTCAGAGGACAACATGCATGAGTCAGTGTCCCCTTCTTCCCACGTGGATCCCAGCAAGACACGAGGCTCGAGGGCAAACGCCTTTCCCTGCTGAGCCACAGCAAAGCCTCTGATTATTATTTAATAGACACAAGCTTCCAAACTCTTATCAGTTTCAGTTTTATTTTCAAGCTTGCCTACTTAGAATTGGAAAAACAACAATGTATTGCGAAAATGGGCAGAAAACTATCTCCTACCAAAAGCACTTTCTCATACTGTGAAGTCCTCCATAGGGCCAAAGGAAACTAGGATTCCTTCCAGCTAGCCTTCCCACTGACGGTATTAACATGCACGCATTAAGCACTCATTAGTAAATATACCCTCTAAACTTTACTCTTGTACATTTTTAGATATTACCATTACAGGTGTTGTGATGAAAATACAATGTAAAAGAGTCACAAACTATTTTTAAAAATAGAAGAGGTCCCATTGTACACACATAGGATAGCTACCATGAGAAAATAACCAGGGTAACAGTCAGAGGGTCACTAAAATAAAAGCAAAAATACATTTTTAACATATTCCAGAGCTTCTGAATGATGTAAACACTCTTATACAGTTCATGTATGTTACAGATTGAGTAATAAGGTTAATGGCAACCATAGCATCAATTTAATGAGCAAAAGAAAATAAAAATGATATAGAGATGGCATATTTCTTCACAATCTACATGTAAGTTATCAATCTCTTGGATTTAAAAAGAAAATAAGCATGGCACATATATATGTTATCTAGGGGCTCTTTTCTCAGTTTCCATTTAGTTAGAAGGAAAGAATTATATAAACAGTGATAAATCAATTCAATTTATACTAAAACTTCCTTTACAAACTAACATAAATTAACAGCTTTTGTTAACATGAAAAATTAAAAACAACTTAGAGGATTTGTATTTCTTACACTGATAAAGGTACAAAGAGCCAGACCTAATCCCCCTTTACACACAATGAGCGACCTGGCCAATATATAAACACAACTATACCCAATACAACATGTAGCATAAGACTGCTATTCCTAAGCAAAGAAGTAAGCCGTGGCTTCTGCTTGATGTTCAGTAGAGAGCAGTAATCGCATGAGAAGAGACTGAGCATCACTAAGCTCTGGAGAAATGCACATGGAAACCAGAAGAGGTCCCACTGCACACACATGGGACAGCTACCATGAGAAAATACCCAGTGTAGAAATCAGAGCCTTATTAAAAGAATAAAAACAAAATCCACATATAATCCAGCAATCTGACAAGTATGCATACAAAAGAACCAGGAGGAGATACTATCTGTGTGCCTATATTCACTGCACCATTATTTGCAGTGAGCCAAAGATAGAAAGAGCATTAATGCCCACTGACAGATGAATAAATAAAATGTAGTATAAACAATGGAATATGACTGAGCCTATAAAAGGAAAGAAATTCTGACACATGCTTCTTATCTTATACAGACAGAATAATAAACCAGACACAAAAGAACAAACACTATAATATTACATGTCAAAGAGATATTAAAATAGTCGAGTTCATAGAGACAGAAGGTAAGACAGTGTTTGACATGGGACAGAGTGCAAGAGTGCAAGTCTGTGTGTCTGTGTGGGAAATGAGCAAGTTCCTACCTCATTTAATGGTTTTAGTGAAATGATTCCAGCTGCGATGTTGAAAAATTATATAAGCATTGATCTGACTTTAAATATCCTTCTCTTAACTGACAAGTTTCAAACCTGCCAAGATACTGTAATAAGAACATTTAAAGCATGAAAAAAATGTAACAGGTACTGAAATGTTTCACCAGCTTTTGAGGAAGACTGTGGTTAAATCACAGCAGATAGTTTCTCTGACATCATCATGTCCTATCTTCATAGCTCTGACACAAAAGATTAATGCCACCACTCATTATGGGACAAGCTGCTCACAACCACAGTCAGAAAGCCTGGCATTGCACCATCTAAGGCATTCTTAGGGCATACTTACTCTCTGTAACTCCCATTTGTCAATCAGATGCTCTACTTCACCACCAAGCACTGTGGTGTTGGAGTCACTCAAGAGCAGGAATCCGTTCTTTACGTCCACGACGCCCGAGAGCCTCACTTTTGTGCCAGGTGGTGTGTTCAGACTGATGCAAAGAAAACCAAGAGTGAGGAGTTAAAGCTGCACTGAAGTTCCTCCACAAACGTGAAAGTGAGTCTTACGACTTAATCAAAATACTGCCACCTAAACTAGTTTTCAGGACTAGCTATAAAGTGTAAATGGATCATGATGCATGAAGATCAAGTACAAAACAAAAGGAACCTCAGTTTCCACAAGTTAAAACAAAGGTAACAAGGACAATCACACCTCACAAAGCTGTGGCAAATAAAATGAAAGTACTTTTTTTTTTTTTTTTTTTTTTTTTAAGATTTTGCTTTTCTTTTATGTGTGTGGTGTGTGGGGGTGTTTTGCCTGAATATATGGAGTTAGCTCCCCTGGAACTGGAGTTGGAGATGGCTGTGAGTGCAGGGAACTAAACCAGAGAGCCATCTCTCCAACCAAGGATGCACTTCTCAGCTCTACCACATACGAATATAGTATCTCTCTTTCTTTTTGCAACTTTTGCTACAGAATGTGTGTGTGTGTGTGTGTGTGTGTGTGTATCATTATTAAATTTTAACAGAAAAAATATATTCAGTAATAAACACAGAAATTTAACACCTACATGAGTTATAGTACTCTATTAAAAACCCTTTTTTGGTTAGTCATCTAGTTAGAGATAAAACATGAGAATTATTTATGCAATAACTTTGAATAGAATTTCACAAACCAAATTGAAAGTATATAAACAATAACTGTAACAAGACTTTTCTACAAAAGGCCAGTGTTAATCATAGTTGGATAAACACTGTAACACAATTCTTTCACAAAAAGAGACAAGATGTTTCTCTTCCCATCACCTTTGTTAAAGGAAACACAGGATGGAATCCACATCATCACACTGGCTTGTTCTACAGTAAAAGCATAGATATTCATCACATTCTATCTCCTCCCATATCCAGCAAAGGAGAAAGCCCTCCGTAGGACTCCTTAAATAGTCAGTCTACCATGAAACACTTGGGATGAATTAGAAAATTATTTTAAAGGCTTATGAAATTCATCACATGCTGATATATGCGAAATCAAATCAGTGAGCATTAATATCACAGCCAAGGACAGCTAATAAAATCATTAGTGAAAAGAATATCCCTACTTCTCAAGCTTCAGAGAACCCATACAGAGTAAGACAGATTACATACTCTTCGGTGTATCAGATATGTGTATCATTGTTTAGTGTAAATTCTATCTCAATAAAGTCACTAAAATTGTTCTGAGGCTCACAAGTTTAACATCCCTACTCATAATTCAAATTGACAGAACAACTACTCATAAATAGCCTTGCCTAACCTCAGCCTTACTCAGAAGTGTAGTCACTGAGAATAGTGTCCCATCTTCAAGATCAGCAGTTACTACAATCAACATAATTATACCAGTAAGTTTTTTTTACCAATTCCAAGTAATCAGCAAAGCCAAATTCAATAATTCTGCAAATCATCATTTCTTCACTTCTAAATGGATCAGAGAGGTACCATAGACCATAGATTGATGTCCTTTTACAGCCAAAGAAAGCATTAATTATACTACCGATCTATGTGTTTTCTTGAAAAGAATGTTTAGCCAAGAATTTCTTACAAATTTCTCATAAAATTATGAGTACAGGGAACAGCAGAAACAAAACAACAAAAAGATAAATATCAAAGATAACAGAAAATATAGAAGCAGACGATTAACTTTGTGTTACATGGCAACACCCTCCCCAAACTTTACTTAGTTGACAAATAATTTGAGAATGCACTTAAAATTTCACAAAAATAACTGGTGGAATCCTACTAGATTTCATTGTAATTTTATTACCACAAAATTACAATTAGAACTAAAATTACATTATACTTTTTACTTCATTGACTTCAGTGTCATAATTAATTCTTACTTAGAGAGCTCATTTTGGTTTAATGGCTAGTTCTTTGGTAACCCAACACATCTTTCTTCACTGTAATTACAAACAAAATCTGAGAGCATGAAGGAAGCCACAGGAGATGGAAGATTGGAGTGTCTAGAGAAATACACAACCCACTAAGGCAGTCCAGCCCAGCCCTGAATCTGCTTTATGCTGTCAAAAAAGTTACTTCACCTTCTTTATGCCGGCCACTAGCCAAACATCCGAACTCTTCTACATTATCCCATGAGAGAACAGGTTTACGTGCTGTCATTTTTGTGATAGCAAAGCAACACATAATGAGTGAATAAGCACATAAAAATTTTTAGTTGTTAAACCATAATAAATTCAATAGAAAAGGATAGCAGATGGCATTGGGCAGAGAAATGTTACAGTAGCAAAAGCAGAAAATGTGCATTCCATTGAATTCAGCCTCCCGTGGCACCCTTGAGCCCTTGGAAGGGCCTGAACTGAATTTGTCACAGAAGACTGTTAATCCGCAGAAATCGGAATCCTTCTCCTCTTCAAAAAAAGACAATGCAATTACAAGGTAGCTAAGCTACCCTCCCCCCGCACCTTGTATATAAGAAATCAACACTTTTGATAACGTTTACCCATTTATCATCACTGCAGGGGGGGGGGGGGGCTCCTTTACCAAAGGCAGAAACAGACTGAAGGAAAACAGTATCATTGAAAACGACATGCAGCACCTCAACCTATTCCAAATCACCTAAGCTCTACCAAGTAAAACTGCTCTCTTTCCTTTGGCCAACTCATGCCATTCACTGTCGGGACACACGAAGCTGTTTAAGAGATCACTGAGCATCTGTGAGAAAACTCCAAGTAAACAAGGCAGGGGATGTTTTTGGAGTGTGCTTTCCTGCACCTCCAGGAGTGGGTGTACTTCCAATTACCCATCATCTTACTTTTGTTATCTAAAAATGTTCCCAAGAATCAGTTGTCCTTGTGACTGTATACAGCCTACACTCATACGACCTTGTCTAACCCTCAGAACACCCTCAGAATATCAACCATCTGATGCTGTGAATAAAGTCCACATGAGACCAACTAGAGTGGGAACAGTTCACCTCTCTGAAAACCATTCATATTTCAAATCAAACATCTGCCTCCCCCAAGTTTCAGTAATTCTCTGGGCTCAAGGGAAATACTTGCATGTCTATCTGCCTATATTGTTATCATATCAGCTACTAGGAAATAAAATTTAACTTTAGCTCTGGTCTCCCCAGGAAAAGGAAATGGAATACAGTGTATGGTGAGGACTATACACTTGTTTCAAGGGAAAAGAGCACAACTTAGGGATTCACATGGAGTAAAAAAGCTCAGAAGACCCAAAGCAGCAAACATGACCATAAGCAATGACTAAAGAAACATAAGAAAGCTTGCAAAGGTCCAAGAAAAGAGTTCTGCCTCCACACATCAGAGTTCAAAATGCCTTCATAGAAACCCCTTCTCAGCCTTCCACCCCAATAGCTCTATCTCTAAATGCCTGCAACTCCCACTGGCTAGCTTTCATCGTGCTGCAAGGTGCTATGCACAGCACCAGAGGGAGAAAGATAACCATTAGTTTTGCCCTGCCGTGTAGCCACTTTCTACAATAATAACCTGCAATAATGACCAACCAAGCAAAATATGCCCACTGCCCAACAGTAGCATCAATGCCATGGGAGTAACTAACCATTTTATATGTAGATTAAAGCCTACACCACAAGATGGAACCCAACCTGAACCTATTATCAGGGCCAAGAACCTGTGGCTAGACAGCTCATAGACCCTATGGCAAAACCCACTACATCTCATAAAATGACATAGTGTTAAATACACCTGATGACTTATCAGTGCACCTCTCAACCCTCACCGGGGAAGATGCTTCTTGCAGTAGAAGGCAATGAACAGAGATTCCTAACTGGACACATATCTACATGTGATACTGATATCACACCTCCTCCTTCCAAGCCTCAGCAATCACGGAAAAAAAGGGAGTTGAGAAAATTCTAAGGGCCATGGACAGTGGATGACTAAAACAAAACAGTGTTTTCAAAACACAGCGGGGCAGTAACACATATGAAGTCACAGAGTTTGCCCAAGACTCACAGCAGCTCAAGTGAGACCACGTAATAGATAGTTTCTTACCCAACATACATGGGCAGCATATACTGGGCTCCATGAGTGTTTAAAAAAAAAAGAAGAAGCTGGGTGGGTAGTGAGTGGTGGTGGATTTGGAAGGAGTTGAGAGAGGGGCGAAAAAGATTAAAATACATTGTATTAAATGCTCAAAGATTTAATAAAAGCATTTTTAAACAAAACAAAAATTTGGAATATTGTCCCTAAAAATTCTCTTTTAAGTAGTAGGGAGCAACAAGCTGAAAAGTTTCTGCACCCCAATAAGCTCTGCACTGACACAGCCATTCAAATCAGACCCAATCAAACTGAATTAGAAAAAGCCCATGTTAACAGATACAAGGCTCCCGGATGATTTTCCAGCCTCCCCAAAGAGGAGACAACTGGGAAGAGAGACCAAAAAATCCACGAGTCTGTTTTCTTTCTGGGGGGCAATTATATACCCTATGGTAGTGGTTCTAAGCATCTCTGGGGGAAGGTTCATCATTTCACGGGCTTTCTGAGGAGGCAGGGTCTTGGGGAGAAGGGACGGACATGTGGCTTCCAGCTAATCACAAGCCTCCTTAGCTTTAATTATATTGTTAAAAAGTACATTAGCCTACAAACTTGGCTAGAATCTTAAACTTTAAAAACACACTAATAAGTACAAGTCAGCTGCTAACCTGTCGGGGGGAAAATATTTTAAACAAATTGCATTCTGTTCTAGACAATGAATGACCTAAAATTTTCTAGGGGAAAAAAAAGCATGCATATCACATATATTTTAAGTTTGTTTCATAGTTAACACAGAAAAGAGAGACTAACTTTATCCCCGTCTTCTAGAGAAAAAAGAGACATGGAAATCCCAGTAATTCCTTGTGAAGAAGGACACCACTCACTTAAAACTCTATTCCTTGCTATTCACATTTTTATGACGAAACAAGGATGGAAAAGCACCTTCAAATTCTGTTTAACAAGTTATATGAATCACCTTATTTTTGAAATATAACTGAACTCTACTGCTGTACAGCTTGTATGCCCATCAGTCATCTGCAAACGAAGCATCCTTGGTGCAGCCTGTGATTCCTCGTTATCCTTTGGTGCAGCAACATTGCGGACTTTCTGAATTTGTAAAACACATGGACCTTCAAGCTGCCAAACACAAAGGAACAAAGGTCACCTCTTAGTCATTGCGATATTTTCAGTTACACTATTTTTCTCTTCTTTAATGGTGATTTATTATAACTTCAATTAAAGTCAAGACTGTTGTTATTTTGTTAATTCAGAGGCCTGCAGAAGAACAATTTTATAAATCCACTTTCAGATAGTTCCCAGGCATGAAAGCACTAAGCGAACAGTTCTGTTTTGTAATAAAAGGTGTAGTACATCATGCTTTTAGTCTGATATGCTCTAAATAGTTGCTTCCTGCCCTCTCACATGAACAGGAACTCAGCAGACAAACAACTTGACATAACTTTAAGGGACTCAAAGGAATGCTTCCTATCCAAACACACCAGCTTTAAGTGTAAAGAATACAATACTCCAAAGTGTAAGATATATAAAGTTAAAGGAGTGTGCTATACTTATTTCTACATTTCCCTTTTAAAATGTATTAAACCTGATGCTGTACGATGTGTTGACAGGAAGAGAAGAAATGTTCTCCCTGTCAACTTTTAATCAAAGTAAAAAATAAGTCAATGAACTAACTAGTTACAATGCTAAAGTTTATATAATAAAATGCCAGTAGCAAAACTGGAGAAAAAACGTTAAATATGCTTACATTTAGGAAAGAGAAGTGATAATTCCTACATAGTAAAATAGATCATTAAGTTAGCATCATAGTCCTACATTCCAAACAGCTGGACAAAACAGCCCTACAGACTACAGCTAGGATATTTGAATCTTCTTCGATTCCCCCAAGACAGCGCCCCTTACCAGCAGGAAGTAGTTTGGAAAGAACGACGCCCAAATTCCCAAATATTGTGTATAAATGTTTGCTTCCATTTAATTGGACTTTGTTATATAAAATTAAAAAAAAAAATCCTCAAAGCTTTCCAAACCAAAAAAAAAAAAATCAACAATGTAATAAAGCACAAATATAATGTAAAAAAAAAAAAGTTAGCATCATCATAGTTTAGAAAGAAAGGTTATTTTAAAAATTAAAGTTTTTCAAATATATATATTTCTGTGCATAAAAAATGAATACATGCTTTCAGAAAGGAATGAAAAAGTTGGGCAAATATCTAGACTTTATTTCCCAAGCAAGAAAGTCTCTAAACTGAAAATCTACTACTCAACATTGACTAGAAACAATAATGTTATCTAATCTAATCTAGTCTAAGTTTTCATCTAAGTTTCAGCATGAAAGGCCAATACAGTATCTGGGCAAGACGGTGGACTACAGGGGCCTTCTGAGAGAGACAGTAAAAGAAAGAGTTAAAAATAGAGGAAAATACAACTAGAAATCTTTAGGTTGAGCAAAGCAAGCCAGACTCAGAAAGAAAAATATCACATTTTTTCTCTCGGATATAGAACCTATTTTTTTTTTTCTTATTTTACATATAAATCCCAGTTCCCTTTCCCTCCCATCCTCCCATGCCCCCTATCCCCCTCATCTCATCCCTCATCTACTCCCCAGGGAGGGTAAGGCCTTCCATGAGAGATCATCAAAATCCCCACTCTCTGAAACTGGATTCTAGGAGTTTGGCTCAGTGTTTAGCTGTGGGTGTCTGCTTCTGCTTCTATCAGCTACTGGATGAGGGCTCTAGGATGGCATATAGGGTAGTCATCAATCTCATTATCGTGGAAGGGCATTTAAGGTAGCCTCTCCACTATTGCTTAGATTGTTAGTTGGGTTCATCCTTGTAGATCTCTGGACATTTCCCTAGAGCCAGATTTCTCTTTGAACCTATGTTTCCCTCTATTGATGTGTCTCTTTTCTTTTTCTCCTCTATTCATCTCCCCATTCAATCTTCCTGATCCCTCATTTTCTCCTCCCCATCCTCTTCTCCCCTCCTCTTTCTCCTATCTTCCTCCCTCCTCCCCCTATGCTCCCAATTTGTTCAGGGGCTCTTACCCCTTCCCCCTTCACCAGGGGACCGTCTATTTGTTTCCTAGCTATAACCTAAATTTAAAATTATATTATGTGTGTGAGAGAGTGTGTATGTGTTTGCATGTGTGTGTGCCTGTAGGTCATGAAACTAGCCATCTAATGGATAACCCACAGAAATATATTCTATGTATTTCTTCCTCATTCCAGGTTCAGTGGTTTCACGCTGTAGTTTAACAGGACTTATTAAACTACAGAGGGTGGTGATTGCTGCCCACTGAGGCTCTTTATTCTCTTCAGACCGGCAGTTCACCAGCATTTTATGAGTAGCATCACATCATAGCCTATAAAGATGTCATCTGTCTTTGAGCTGATCTGCAGCTTCAGTAAAAATTCTAGCACACTTTAAGAGATTTAATAATTTGATTCTATAATTTACTGGAAGAAAAAATAATAACCTAAGGAAAAATATTGTACTTTACAACCACAAGTTAAGGGAAAAAAAATGGTAATTTCAAGTGTCATAAAGGTACTTTCAAATAGACTTTGTACACTCTAGTGAAAGCAATATAAATGATGCAACTCTTTGTAAAATAATTCAGCATCATCTTATAAACATGAACACTGGCTTAACTCTACACTAATTCAGTTCCTGAGTTCACGTCTTATATGCTTGCTCTTAGAAGTAGCATCCATTTTCAAAACTGACAAAAAATAATAATAAACTAAACAGCTATCAAAGGAATTGATTCATATTTACTGTAATTGTGTATGTAATCAAAATGTACTTAAAATCAATGAACTAAAGATTTACAGCAATTGTTTCTAATGTAGGAAGAGGTGAGGACCTGAACATCTGCCATCTGAGCAGAAACATCCCAACATGCTAGTTTTTTCATCAGAAGAGGTTCCAAGGCATCAACTTTAATATTAAGCTTCAAAGCATACCTGTATTACATACATCATGCATACATATACATACATCAATATTTTAAATCATTTATTTATAAATTTTATAAATATTTTATAAATAATTTATAAAATTAATATATTGGTTTGCTCAATGAAATTTCAGAATTGAAAGGCCAGATCTACAACCTACACAGCAAGAATACACCCAAAGCCAAATCACAGAGCTGGTTCGATGCCGGAAGTGTTAGTAAAATCACTTCTAAGAGGGAGAATAATGGGAAAGCAACAGTTTACACCCTTTGACAATTCTCCTTGCCAATATCAACAACCAACTGAATATTGCTACACTCTGTGCCAAGAAGAATGCTATGGGCTGGTATCCATGAGCTGGAACACACTGGTCCCAGCACATAGCAAGCGCCTGCTTCTGTGCTTTGTACAAATGACCTAACTCGCTCTGAACTCTTAGCCTAGCAAGGCTGCAGCTGCCACCTCAGAAACTTGGTCTTGCTGTTCTCCTGTCACTTCATGATTCTTCTACACCAAGCAAACCCGAGACAAGAGGCATGATGTGGCTGTACACCAAGGGAAAGCTATGCCATTTATGTACTTCCTTCCTTCTCTAGCCAAGTATCTCGATAAAAAAAATTCCCCAAACTCAGTGAGAGAATTTAGAGTCTAGTAATCACAAATACCAGTCAAGAAGTTTGATCAGGCCCTATTTCCTATAATTCATACTATAAAAACAGCATACTGTTTTCAAATAGAAATAATATTAAATATAGTGTATTGTTATCTACTAAATGTACATACATATATACATATAATATATATATATATATATTTAAAAATCTTACAGCAGGAAGATGTGTGTACAGAGTATGTATATTCTAAGGGCTTTCTGCAAAGATTTACTTTTATTTATGTATACATGTATGCATGTCTGTCTAATACATACGCAGGTGCTCACAGAGGCATCAGCTCTGGAAAGCTGTAGTTATAGATGGTTGTGCATCACCTTTCCTGAACATTGACACTGGGAACCACACACCAGTGCTCTGCAAAAGCATCATTAGGTGTTGATTCTAAGCAACACTCCAGCACACATACAATGTAGTCTAAGGCTTCCATTCCAATATGCCTCCACTATAGAGACTGTTCACTATTCCATAGTTAAAAATCCTATCTCTAAAGCCAACAGTCTAGAGATGAAAGCAAGTCCCCTGTGCCTGAGTATGAATGGCTCTCCCTCTCGTATGTACTTCCAACATAAACCTGTTTTATGGAGCTCTTAAGTCTCTTGCACTTTGCACAAATGTACACTCAAAACTGCTATAGGATCAATGAGATAGCGTGGTGAGAGAAGGTGCTCGCCACCAAGCATGGCGACCTGAGTTCAAGTGGCAGGGCCCACATGATGGGGGGGGGGACCATCTCCCAAAAGGGGTACACACTCACCAAAGGGTACACACATTCCCCCCCTCTCTCTCTTTAAAAGAATACATTTAATAACTTTTTACCTGTCTGAATAAAATACAGTATTTCTGGGGCACAACAGCAATGAGCACTGACTGCTGTTTCAGACAACCTGGATTTTATTCCCAGCACCCACATAGTGAGTGGCTAACAACCAACAACCACCCATACCTTCCATTCCAAAAGATCTACTGCCCTTTTCTGGCCTCTCTAGGCACCAGGCATGAGTGTGGTGCACAGGCATACACGCAGGTAAAACATCCCACACATAAAATAAAGAATAAGACAGATACTCCTGAAGGGAAAGCAGTAGTGCGCACCTATGATCCTAGCACCTGGAGCCTAAGGCCCAGAGGACCACAAATTTTGGTGCACCGTGAGCTACACAGCAAGTTCCGAACTATTTTGGTTTATTTGGCAAAATCTATCTCCAAAAAAAAAAAAAAAAAGAAAGAAAGAAAGAAAGAAAGAAAGAAAGAAAGAAAAGAATAAAATAAGCAAAAATTGATTTTTCCAGTGCTATGCTGCAACTAATGTGCCAGGGACAAGGCTGGAGATTTACAGACATTGCTGAGTTCACCTGTGGATTACACGGTGCATGAGAATCATGTAAATAACCCTGACAGCACAGGTTAAGAAACACTTTGCCAGAGGTCGTCAGTGACCATGATGCAGAGAAACAATGCAAGCATGAAGCTGTCTCACCCGAGCACAT